TTCTATTATTTCTGAGCTTCTGAATGGACAAACGTCATACAACACAATTGGCCGTAAGAGGTCATATGCTGACGCCCAAGAAGGCACTAAAATAGGTTAATAATTATAATATCAATGGAAGAAAAAAAATAAACGCTACAAAGTAGACGTGCAGTAATGAAACTATTAAACTACTTAACACAGAATTTATTAAGATTGGTATAAGATAAAAACTTGCAATAAAACGAAACAAATAAAATAAAATAAAAACTATGTATTATATAGAGATTTATTTAAAAGCTTTTATGACTAGTCTGTATTTTAAAAGATTCGATGTTGTTTTTCAAGTTTGCAACAAAAGGGAAAAAAAAATATCTGTTCCAAAACATTCTGTTCTATTCATTCAGAAGAAGGTGTCGTCTGCTTTGACGTAGGAGAATCACCCGAGCGTATTCCAAGCTAATTCAGATCCCCCCCCCCCCCCCCCCTAGGCTCGAATGCTCTGGCATTTTCTAACAGCCACAACATGTTTTGAGGGCCGTTCTCCTTGCAGACGTTAACATACGACGCCACGGTCTGGTGACCCCCACAAACGATCGCATCCGCCGGATATGAATGCGGTGGGACTTCCAGAAAATGTGACGTCTTCAAGCGTAAAGGAGGGGGGGGGGATTGGTACAAACGAACTTTGAATGTGCTTCTTCCATTGACGCCACTTGACGTAATAGCTGCGTCTAAAAATAGAAAAGCGTAACAGTAAAAAACAACATATTAAGACAACATTTTTTGTCTTGTTATGAGGACATGTTGACGTTCGTAAAAAATAGTTTACTTTGAATACTTTGATCACGGAATAGGCCTTGAAAATAAAAAAATAAAAATGAACTAACATTGCAAGTAATTCAAATTTACATTTTTTTATGTTTACTACACTTCAATACTTTTTACCAAAGGACAAAAAATTTCTTAAAATTAGCCTCTCGTTTGATAATACAAATTAAGTAATATTTTTAATTATTATTTAATCATGCTTAATTACGATGGAGACTGTTGTTCAAAACGCAGGTTGTTGTTGCAGTGTTTTGTGAGTGTGGTTGCTGTGTTGTGTGTGTTTTATTGCAGTGTTGTGTGAGTGTTGTTGCTGTGTTCTGTGAATGTTGTTGTTGTGTGTGTTTTATTGCAGTGTTGTGTGAGTGTTGTTGCTGTGTTCTGTGAATATTGTTGTTGTGTTGTGTGAATGTTGTTGATGTGTTTTGTGAAGGTTGTTGATGTGTTCTGTGAATGTTGTTACAAAGTGTGTTTTGTGAGTGTTATTGCTGAGATTGATGTGACCTCTTGTATTATGTAAGCGTTGTTGTTGCGTTTTCATGTGGATGTTTTTGTTGCCTTGTTGTGTGAGTGCTGTTGCTGCATTGTGTGAATGTTGTTAATTTGTTGTGTGCGTGTTGTTGTCGTGTTGTGTGAATGTTGTTACTAAGATTGATTCAAGAATGTGACCTCCACGAACAGGTATCCGTGGAATCTCGTACACATCTCGTGCGGACAAGATGAAAGGCCGAGACTTTGTTTTCTACATCATCCTGTTGTACAGCTGTCTCTAAATGAGACAGACAAGCAACAGCCCTGACAGCTGTGACAGTGTTGACGGGCAAATATGGGACATGTTGAAACTTAGCGCCGCGTAGGGATCCCTGTTTCTTTCAGACATTTTTCTCCAGCCAGTGAGATGTGGGGGGGAGGGGACACTGGTTAAAGTGTATAATTTACATAACACTATTTTTTTTTACTAATTCGATGGGGGGTGGGTTAAGGGGGGGGGGATGGATGTGCTTCGGGGTGGAAGGGGACAGAACCCCAGCCAACCCTACTCCATTATGAAAATTTTGAATATATATGAATAATTGAATATATTTATATCAAGAGTGAGGTTACCTTTGGAGGCCTGGTGGTCAACTAAGCAGGTGAAGTAGAATTTAAAAGTTTTTGTGACCACGGCATATGAAGCGATGGTTTAGTCAGATCTTAGCCCAGCGACCTGCACATTCCCTAACTCGAGCCGGGTACCCACCTGAGCTGAGTCGGCTCTGAGAAGTCCAACTAACTGGAGTTCGAATCCCAAGACATTCGAGTTACCTGTCGCAAACTCTACCAGCCGGTCACGACGTCCAAACCTTTTTTTTTTAAAAAAAAAAAAAACTTCTTCCCATTTAAACCCGTCCCCTCTATAAACTATCCGTGTGTTCTTCCCAATTTCCATGTTAACTATGCAGAAAGCTGACGGAAGTTTTTCATCCCCTGTGAATAATGACCGGCCTCACGCAACCAGCTAGATCAGGGGTCTCCAAACTACGGCCCGCGGGCCGTATGCGGCCCGCGATGTCCTCTCATCCGGCCCGCGGAGATCTTTTAGTCCAAGGAAAAAACGTTTGTTGGTGATGACTGAAGAATTTTGCCCAAAAAAATCAAAAATATGTCTGGAAGAAACTGGCCCCCGAACTGAAATTTGATAGTTGATGCGGCCCTCGGACTGAAAAGTTTGGAGACCCCTGAGCTAGATAAATCAAACGACTCCAAGCGTCCACCTTACGATGAAGGATGTATCATACAAATCTCTAAATCACAACACGGCCGAATTCTTGAGACAAAAAAATCACCCAGAAATATCTCACTTTATTCGCTGGTATTTGGATTGGTTATTCTTCTTTCTTCTTCTTCTTCGTTCTTAATTTTAGCGTTGGAAGGAATCCCCTCCAACACAATTAAGTATACGTGTCAAATGGTTATGCGCCATTGAGGCCATTGACTCTGATTTCAGCCTGCTTTTCTTTTTGGATTTGCTTCCATAGCCTTATTGTCCAACCAAGAACAAACTATAAGGCAGCAGTTGTTTGATTTTGGAGTTGTCTCTCCTAGAAGAGTTGACGAGCTTCATCTGCCCGAGGGTTCGAACTCAAAACTTTTCGGTTTAGCAACCATGAGCTTTACCGACTCGACCACGCCGACCATTGGTTCTTCAATTACCACTCCGTGTTTGGCACTTTGAGTGATTTCATGTTATGCTTTGATCAATTTCTTATGACTTTTTTAATTTAAAAAAATCAACTTTTTTTAATGATTCGATGACACTGTTATCACTAGATCAAATTAAAAACTTTAAGATAAAGAGCGCTAAATAAATTAAAATATAAAAATTGAAATTAAAAAATTAAATGTAATTCTCACGACGTAAAATATAGCTTTAAAAAAACGTTCTCTATGACTACTAACAGATTTTGTTTGAAGCTGTACTATACGTTAAGAAAATTAGCAGTACTTGTTTATATCATAATTTGGTTAAACATTTATTTCTGAATGACACCTGAAGTACTGAAATATGTTAATTTTTTTTAAATTATGTAGTCCAGGAACGCAAAGATACATTAGCGTCAAATTACTATTGATACTTTTGATACCTGTGTTCCTTCTATTAAAGAGCTATCCTCAACGCTAACCCCCGCCACCCCAAACAGTGTATTAAAACTAGGATATAAAATGTGTACTTTTAAATTATATTGAAGATGGTGAAATTGGGGCATTCATTAATAATTTGCGTGAAAAGGTCTGTATGTTAGTACCTTTAACCCTAACCCCAAACCCAACCCTAACTCTAGAAATAGGTCACAAGTTGCGGGGTTTAACTTTTCGCCTGTGTACCTTTTGTATTAGTGGCGGGGTTGGACAAGACCTAATTTCTTATATAGCCTTGGTTTAATTATCCGGATAAAAATTATTCACTTTATAGACGAGGAAAAAATAATATTATTTATCATGATAGCGAATTGATTATCTGAAGTTTGAAGTTATATTGTTTCATTATTTTCTTTTAACCTTCATTTTGAATATCGAATTTTTTATCCTAAAAACTACTAGTACATTAACATTATTTCATATTATTCATTATCGTAATGATAGACGAATGACGGTATCGGTAATTTCAATGTTATATTGATTGCTAATATCAAATTCTATGTTCATCGCTTTCGGTAATGCTATGTGAAAACGTAATTAAAACTGCGAAGAATTAGTTAGGATTGTGTCTAATATTTATAAGTAACTGCCATTTCTGTAACGTTAATAACTTTACACGTAGCTTTATTATGTTATCGTAAATATGAATGTTATTTTAATCTTTTAAAAAATTGAAGTATTAAGGATTCTTAGTTTAGTACCCATACACAAAGCTGTACTAAGTTATCGTAAATATGAATATTATTTAATCCATAAAAACCACGTGCTAATTAACAGGATCATGACAGTTAATTATGTATTTAGTGACCATATCTATCAATACATGGCTCTACTAAGACAGCGTGAATAATACTCCTGTTTAATCCTTAAAGCCACGAGCTAATTATCTGATTATATTTCCATTATTTACATAGTGATATAGCTATTATCGATTAGCTCTAGTAAGATTGCGTGAATACTATTTTAAATTTCTAAAACTACGAATGTTCACAGACTATAAGACTGGAACATTTTATTCCAGGTGATAGCTGGCACCATGGTGTACCTGTATCTCTGACGGCGCACCTGTAGGACACCTACGCGGAACAGGCGCCAGTCTGTGTTGACGACGCGCGCGGGCCCTCATAGCGACCTCCGCGCACCACAACATGTCATAACCACGCCCTCTTCCCCTTCCATCCTATCCCAGCCGTAAAAGCACATGATATGCTGTTAAAAAATAAGTAAACATCCCCCCCGCTAAATCACCAACCCCCATTTTTTTTCTATACTTGGCCGAGTTTAAGAACTTAAGTCGACGCGGTTTTTTTTTTTCTATTCAATGCTACCCCGTCCTCTCCCCGCTCGAGTGAATATAAAATAAAAACCCCACCCCTTTTCATTACACCCTACCCAATTCCCACCATACCAAATACATATGTCATAAAATTGAATAAGAAAATATGATGTATTCATATGCAAAGAAAACTAAATTTGGATGGGTATATAAGCAGGAGCCGATCCAAAATGGCCATCGCTCTTTGAATGGAACTAACAGTGCGCATGTTGTGGAGGTCTGGTACCCAGGCTGTTTTAATAAGCCGTTTGGTCGTCTGGTGCTCAGTTGTAGCTAACACTCTGCTGAACGCTGGTCGTTCACGGCAAAGACGGGACTTCACTTACTTAGTCGCGAAGAAAATATTCACTTACAAACACCGGACTACTTATTACTGCAGTAATCAAGAAAATAAATTTCAACCATTGTTTAATTTTCAAGTGAAATAAAAAAAAAATATTTTTATTAAAAGAAATTAATTTTAAAATAATTAACAATTTGGATCAGGATATAGTTAACACAAAAAGCGGATAGTAAAAACACAGCGAACAAGGGGAAATAATTCGAGCTGCTTGAAGAATCCGCCTACGGTGTAAGCGAGATATAAAGTTACCTGTAATAGACGTGAAGTCAGTGTAAATTAGAAGCACGCTGATAGGCAACAAAACAAAACAAAAAGTGAAATTGTTTTAGGAAAAAGTGATTATATTTCTTTCTTTTTTTGGAATACTACAATACATTGGATTATTATACAACAAGTAGAAGTATTCTGTGTCATTTGTGAAAAAGATTTCAAATCAAACGGATTATCTCTCTCAGTCAATGTATTAATTTAGCTCACGTGGACAATACAACGAATTACAAGATGCATATATCACAGTGTTTATTAGCTTTTATATTTGCTGTCTGTGTAACAGGTACGTCTTATTTTGTTTACATTGTTATTTAGTTTTCATTTGTACAGCTTTTAAATCTCTAAGGATAGCTTTGTAATCAGAATAAATTATTTAATTTTTTTTTTTATTAAATTCTTGTTCTGAATATGGTTAGTCAAACGAATAAAAGAACTTATATCCATATACATTATATATATATATATATATATATATATATATATATATATATATATATATATATATGTATATATATATATATATATATATATATATATATATATATATGATCTATTTCTTCATTTTTTTTATTTTGTCAGTTATAAAGCCTATAAGCCTATATTTATTTTTAAAATTATTATATAGGCTTTTTATTTATTCTTTTTTTTATTAATACAGACTACGGTCACAAACACACACACACACACACACACACATATATATATATATATATATATATATATATATATATATATATATATATATATATATATATATATATATATATATATATATGATTAACTTTTGAAATAGTTATATTTGCGTGTTTTATGAAAGCAAAGAACTTTGACACGCCCAGTTGTTGAGAAAGACAGAGTTCGCGTATTTAATAAGCATATGTCTAACACCAGGTTTAGAGTCTATAGTTAACATCGACACCTTATTATAGTAGCTCCTGTCACGTTTTCCCCCCACCGATCAGATAAACACACCTGATCCATTTGTGTTGCAAGAACCTACATCGATGTGACACTTGTGCTCTGGCGACTCACGTTAGTCTACGGAGCGCCGCTCATAAAGCTGTCATTATGTCATGTGACTAGTTCATCATGGCCTACCTGACTCCACAACAGCATGGTCGTCTGCCCTCTCGTATAAAATAACCAGCATGTTTACACGCTATATACCTGTACACTTGCATAGGTGTATAATGAAAACAGTGTTTCCTTATAATTAAACGTGTTTGTGTTTTTTTAATGTTTACTTACATTTTAAATTATATGTAGTTACTTCGGCATCGGGCTAAACAAAACATACTATTACGTAAACAATGAAATATGTAATCAAAATTCAGTATGTACAACGCCTCTGAAACGTCATTCTATTACGTCATAATGTAACATTCGACGTCACAACTTTACATCTTATAAAAAAATGAATATTTAAGAACATTATCCCTTTACTTTTATGCAAGTTTCTTAATTTAAAATTGAAATGAGATTTAAATATAAATTTCCCTCCAAAAAATACTTGCGGCAGTTGTTTAAAATTTGGGGGTTTTACGGTCGCTTGCTAGAGCCACACCCAAAGTGTGAAGTGGTTCTAAAACGGGTTATGATGGGGATTCTAAAAACGAATATAGAAAGTTTACAAACAGATGATAGCGATCTAATAAGCATGAAAGTCATATTGAACCACGAAATCGTAATTTTGAAAAATAAAAATATAGTTTAAAATTTGTAAAAGATAATTTTAAGCTTTGATAAAAATAGAACACACTGGTGAATAAAAATAGCTGGACTAGTATACACGCTTTAATAGCTTATGTCAAAGTAATGAATTACAGTTTTAATTAGGGACAGGTAATTACTTACGGTAAACTACGGACGTGTAAATAAGGATTAGGCTGAGTTGGAAGAGTATTTTTAGGAATAAAGTTTGTTTCCTTTAAAATTAAATTAAGAACACATTTATACTTCTTTCTTTCGTTTCACTTCCTTTAAAGTACAACTTTTGAGGTTATATTCTCTTCTTACTGTGAAGTATTAGATTTCTGGTGTTGTTTTTCTTAAATACAGCTAGGTAGGTATTACACAAGACTCGGATCAAGTATAAGAAATCTTGTCATAAAATCGATATAAAATCGAAACTTTGCTTTAATTCAGATTATCGCTGGCGTGCGAACAATTAAAAAAACACCTAATCTTTTAATCTGTAGATGGCAGCGTCAGACCTACGGAGATTTATCCCCCCCCCCCCTTTCACCTTCTCTTCTCTTATCATTAAGATTAACACAAAAACACTAACTACGGTAATAAAGGATCATAGACTATAAAAAAAACGTTAATCTTTTATTAATGAAAACCACTTTAACCTACTTTTCACTGTGATGATCGGGTTAGGATTAAAGGATTAGTGTGTTGGGGTTACGTGTTAAACGGACGGATAAAACGGGAAGGTAATTATACAGGTGAATATTACGTAACTAGTCTTGAGTTTTATGAGCAAAACAACGAAGGTGGATTTCTCTATCTCTGTCAAGTTTTTGGGGTTGTTTTTTGTGTGTAATAAGGCGTGGCACGTCATACTTGTCATAAAGAACTTGTCAAATTTGTCAACACGTAGAATTTTGATATTAAAAAAAAAATTGGCGTAAAACAGTCTTTTTAAATGAAAGTTGCGTCTTGATTATGTATATTACATATACAATAATAGTGAGATTTTGAGACGTGATCCATATTGCAATACATTCCTAATACTGTCACCAATTATGTCGAACTAGATAATAACAATTGAGTTACATGTTCTCAACAAGTGTTCTATAGTCAAGCTGTAAAACTTGGTACAAAATAGTAAATCTATAATATGTCATTTAAAACATAAAGCTATAGGTCTACCTTTATTCTCTATAACTATTATGTTGTATTTGAATTAAAATAATGCCATTGTGTAGAAAGGGTTGCTTTAATCATAGCGAGATTATTATTAAGGAACAATTCTAGCTAGAATCAGTAATCATTTAAAGTAGATGCTTTTTTTATATTAATAGATAGCATAGTAAAATAAAGTTTCATAAAATTAGATTTTTTTAAAAATTATAAATAAAATAAGTTACTACACCATTTTGGCAAATAATTATTTTTTAAACAATAATTTTTAAATCAAATAAATTTACTATGCGTTCTTAACAAAAAAAAATCTTGGTAGGACTGTAAGAATATTTAATTTCCAAGATTATTATATGGGTTATGTCCCTTATCACGTTAACGTAATTTGCGTAGTCATACTCTTATGAGCCGCACTCGCTGTATAAAAAATATATTTCAAGAAGCGATTATGAATGAACCGCCGTGAGATCTAAGTGCTAATACAAACTTGTTGTAGAGAAGTTAAATCTTTAGCGTTTTTGTGTGTTTAAAAAAATGTAACCACTTAGTAAGGGAAGCCACTCGTTTTTTTGTAAAGGCAAGATAATGACGTGTTTACACTTCTCACTGTTGAAGTAGACAAGTTGCGTCACGCGTTAATTAACTTACGTTACCTGACTCCTGCGGTCAGATTATTATGTAAATTCAAGCTGTTATTCTGGGGGGTTTTTTTAGCGTTTATTCAATATTCGTCCTTCAAATAATTATAGACATCTTGATGCTCCTATAAAACTATCTAACTCATATAGTCTGTTACGCTTGTTGAATATGAAGTTGATTTTTATTTGCTACACTTATTCATCATTGAGTTCTTGACTTTTAATTCTGTTTTAATATACTTAGCAGAGAAAAAAAAACTTTTTTTTTAAAATTAAGAAGTATCTATAAGCAATTGTATTTATTTTTCATTTTAGTGAGTATATGCTATATTTTTTTTATTGTTCTCCACTTCCCCCGATAATTCCAGATATAAATATCAAATAAATTACTACTTGAAAAGACTGTTTTCAAATTAATGGGAAACTAATTTGCATAAATGAAAGGAATTACATCATTGCGAGAGTTAGTTAAATAAACAATACTAAATACTACATTCCCGAGTTCTAAAATCATTATGGGTATGTTAACAGTAGCAGTCTCGCCATTTCTCACGGTTCTTGCAACATTCCAACCAACACACTTGGACACCTCGAGTGCGCATTGAAATCGTTAGCTGGCAGAGGTGCGGCCTGATATTCACCCTCGGTTCCAGAGATATCACAGACATGAATAGTGCCATTCATTGCCAGACGACCTCTGCTTTCGCTACCAGTCTGCATAAATAAACACGCAACATGTAGAAGCTAGTCCACTGCGTCATGCCAAGGGAGGTAACCTAAACTCTTTTAGCGAGAGTTACACGCCCTTGTTCAGCGTTATTTTTTTTATCATGCTTACGCATGTTATTCAAAGATATAAAAATTGACTGAGGATCAAGTGATCTAAGTTTGTTATTTTTTTACTACATACATACATCACTTCAAATCCGAAAGTCTATTTGAAGTATGATAACAATATGCAATATTTGTTTAAATATAATTTTCTTAAAAGTGAATACGTAGTAGAGAAGGACTTTTTCTTTATTTGGGTATTGAGAAGTGTTATGTTATTTTTTTTTTCAAAATTGCGTGTATAATATGAGTAAACGGTTAAATTATTTTAAGGTGGAGTGTCTCGTATTTTTTTTTAAGAAAATGGGATGGTGGCTTCCACTTATTCCGGTGCAATAAATCTCTACCGTTAAGCCCTAATAAATCTCTGTTCAACTACCGTTTACGATAATCCGTTTGACCTCTTTTTAAGTATTGGGTAAGGCAGGAAGCTGTAAATCCATAACGGCATTCCCCTAACATGCAGTACCGTCAGTTGTGACCGAGAAAAAAAAAATGTCGTTATTGACCTCACCTGCGCGCCATAAATCCGACCTACAACTTTCCCTGTACATACACCATACCACGGTGAAACGACGTCATCCACGATCTAGGTCTCAGCGAGCATACCGCGAGAGGGCGTAGCTGGCTCACAGATAAGGCAATAAAACACACCTGGTTGATATGACACCCATGTTGGGATAACTCTCTTATCTCCAGTCAACGAGAGTTATCACCCCTGTTTAGTGCTGAGGACGGGCGCGTCTTCCGTAAATAGATTTATTTACAGTTCACTTAAAATAGCGCTGTTTGTTATATTTACTCAGTAACGTCATTTTTTTTTTAAATTGTTCAGCCTGTTGGTAATTTACTACCTCCCTCCACCCCCACCTCTATCTATACCACCTATTCCATTACTCAAGATATCAGCCACACCCTTATCATACGTATTCACGTAATAAGAAAACTAAGACTTAAAGATCTAACACATGTAATAACAAATATACTTGAATATACTTAACTTCAATACCAATGGCATCAAAACCAGTACTATTGGTAACTAAATCAACACTGTTATACAACACAAGATGACTTTGTTATATTAATCCCTAGTTTTTAGTACTGAACAAATCAATAGCTATATATTATTTCACAGCTAAATGCCGGTTATAATTAAAGTTATCTAGCCGGATCAATTTTCTTTCAGAAACTAGAACAGCACATAAATCCCCCAATCATGTTTATTAATCGACTGATTTCTTTTCTATTCTAGTAACGGTGGGGGAGTATGAGGTGTATAATGACGTCACCACGGACGAACCAGAAAACATTTTTGAGAACGAAGAGCTTATCCCTGTTGATGTTTTGGCGAAAATGGCAGCTAAGGCAAACAGAAGGAGCTTAAGTGAGTTTAATGTTTAAGCTATTATTTACCCTCTTTACAAAAAAAAAAAAAAAAAAATTTTTTTTTAAATATCAAGTTAAAACTTGTAAACTTGAAATATAAAGCACGGTATTTTATTTATTTTCTTGTATTATTCCAATAGGGTCTGTAAGTAACGAGCAGGAAGGTCATGGTGCCACTTCAACGACAAAGACACAGGCTGCGAAAGTCACGCAGCCCAAACCCAGCAGCACGGCGGCAAAAACCACGACGCAGTCCAAGTTCACCAAAGTCGTACAGGTCGTGCAAGACGCTAAAGAAAAATCCGACGACACCGTGGATTTAGCCAGCGAAGGTTTTTTAGCCGTCCAGGAAAAAGCCAAATCGGGCACAAGTCGTAAACTTGCTGAGGTTGTCGTGGAGGATTCATCAGAGCAGATTGAACAGGAGAGCGTCCAAGTAGATGTTCCGGTTTCTCATGAAAATGACGATTCATTAAAGCCGGAAACACTTAAAGCGGAACCGGAAGAGCCTTACAAAAGTTTGGACGGTAACCCTGACAACGATAGAATCCTTGCCATCGCCTGCCAAGACCAGACGAGCTGGGCTTGTCTCGTGTTCAAAGAGGATTACATGGCCATGAAGAAAACATGGAACCTTTCAGAAGACAATATCGGTGAGTTGCATTTGGTTTGGAATTATTTCTTCAATAGATTCCACTTTCTAATAATTGTTTTGCTTCTTCAGAAGACTCCGCTTTTCTAATAACTGTTTTGTTTTATATTTTCAAGATTCTATTTTGTCTAATAGCTGTAGGCTATAGCTATGCTTTAAAAAGTATTTGTAATGTTAGTAATTATGTTCGTTTCTTCTCGTAATTTAGCCAAACTTCGAAAGAAAAGACAAGTGACCTCCCCACCAAAGACCACATCACAAAACAGGATAGCGGAAGGATCAGGTAGGCTAAACAGCATTCTCTAGACAATCACCAACGTATACCAACGTTGTTAAGTATAAAGAACTTAGTATACCAAGGTTGTTAAGTATAAAGAACTTACTTTGTATACCAACGTTGTTAAGTATAAAGAACTTACTTAGTATACCAACGTTGTTAAGTATAAAGAACTTAGTATACCAAGGTTGTTAAGTATAAAGAACTTACTTTGTATACCAACGTTGTTAAGTATTAAGAACTTAGTATACCAAGGTTGACAGTAGAAATATAACTTGAGAGTTGGGTATGACAACTTATTCACTGAAGACAGGGAGGTTCTTTATCACATACAGTGTGTTCTCTCTTTCATTACCTAACCAGTTTATCTTTGTTCCCTATTATGTACATTTATCACACGCAATTTTCATTACCTAACCAGTTTCTCTTTGTTCCCCATTAGGTACAGTGTACGACCCTGAAAAGAAAGTTGTCGCACCTGACATCATTGTACAGTCTCAGACCAAGTTTAAGATAAATTCTAAGAATCCAAACAACGATGCAATCATGAAAAAATTACAAGAACAGGTAGGCCTACGTGAAAAATTAAATCCAAACTAACTGTTATTAACTCTAATTGATTATTAGCTTTAAAGCCACAGTTTGCTTTGCAGAAAAATTTATAATATTTTTTGAGAAAATAAACTTCAAATAAAGTTGAATTAAAACGTTTCTAAAAATACTTGATCTGGATTAGGACTAGTCTGTATATAGTATTTTACATGAAAACGTGTATAGTCGTGTATCTAATCGACCATTTCTTCCCTCTATAGCTCTCTCAACAACTCAACCAAGCATTTAGGGACTTCCCTGGATTTAAAGGCATTGAAGTCACAGAGTACACACAACAGTAAGTTTAAAATTTTTAAAATAAAACTTAATCCGAAATGAAAATACTACAGATAGTTGATAACATTAATGGATTTGTTCAAAATATCATGAATTTTTAAATGTGATTACCTATTTTGATTTCAGCACTTAAAAATAAGTAATTTAATTTTTTTAATTTTTAAAAATTTAGAAACGGTGAAGTAATAGCGAAATGGAACCTGAAATTAGACGGCAACAACACAGGAAGCAACGGCAACAGCAACAGCCTCTTCTCCCAGGGCAACCAGACCATTCTGGAAGACTTGGTCAACGGCCTGCTGAAAAACGCAAGCAACAATTTCCGGAATATTTTCAACATTCCGGAACTGGAAATACAAGACCCCTTCCTTCCCAATCTAGCCCAACTTAGTAAGTACTGGATTTTTTAAATAAAATTATGTTACATCTTAGCCATCTTATTTGTGTGAAGATGAATTGAGGCTCTTCCTTATTTGTTTGTGAAAACATTATTCTGTGTTGAAGTTTTCGTTCACAGGTTATAACAGTTTTTTTTTATTTGTTTCTTTAGTTACCAATGCTACAGCCGACCCCTGCAGTAGTTTGGAAGTTTGCGAACCAGGTTACACAAGTTGCCAAGTCGAAGACGCGAAAACAAGAACCGTCACATGCTTCTCAGAGTGTTCGGTCTTTACCAAGGATAAACAGTGCGCTCATAATGGAGAGTGCGAGCTAGACCTCAACCACAAGCCATATTGCGCGTAAGTTCCATGGTTTTTATCTGTAGGGCCTATACTAAGTTTGTTGTTTTTATTATTATTATTATTTTTTATTATTATTATTATTATTTTATTATTACTATTATTATTATTGTTATTATTATTATTTTTTAAATTAATTTGTATTTAATTGGGGTCCTTAGCTCGTTAAACTAAAAAAAAAAACGATTTTTTAATAAAGGTTGTTTTTTTTTTCGTGCAGATGTACGTCAAAGTACGAAGGCGAGTATTGCGAAAAGTTAAAGAAAGTCGAGAAACTGGATGCTGGTGAGATCTCTGGTGTGGTCATCGGCGCTGTGGTGGCGGCCGCTGGGGTCGTCGGCTGCTGCTTCTGGGTGCTGGCCTGCCGGAAGTCTGACAAGTAAGTCGCACGTGCTTTACCTATCACCGTCGTACTCACACGTTTCTGTGTGCAGTCTTCTATCTCAGAGGCGTAGCGAGTGGGGGCGGGGGGAGACATATGTCCCCGGGCGCCGACCTTAGGGGGGGGGGCGCCAAAATGGGTTGGAAAAAGAAATTGAAAGTTTGAGGGGGGGGTGTAAATCAAAAGTTTGAGGGGGGTATAAATCGAAAGTTTGAGGGGGGGGGGGGGGGGGGGTTGCAAATCGAAAGTTTGTCCCCGGTCTCAGAAAGATCCTGCGAATTCGCTGGCCTAAAACCATCAGAAATGATGTTCTATGGCAACGGACAAATCAACTGCCAGTGGAAGTAGAGATCCTCCAGAGAAAATGGAAATGGATTGGCCACACCCTCAGGAAGCCTGTATCCAGCATAACAAGACAGGCCCTCACCTGGAATCCACAAGGCAGGAGGAAGAGAGGCAGACCAAGAAAGACCTGGAGACGTGACCTGGAAGAAGACACCAAGAAGATTGGATACACCTGGGGACAGTTGGAGAAACTAGCCCTGGACAGAGACGTCTGGAAAGCTCTTGTCAGCGGCCTATGTCCCAGTAGGGAATACAGGCAAACATGACATGATGCTACGCCTCTGTTCTACCTACATATTTCACTTAGTTAATTTTTACTCTTTAGTTTAGGTTTGTGTAAACAAAGATAAAAACTTAACATAGTAACTGTCAATAACGTTTTTTTTTATTTTCACAGGAATATTGCCTTTAGCCATTATTCTGATGACAACGGCAGTGACCAGTTCTCTAGTCCATCCAGTAAACTTAGTGCCTTTGTAAGTATTACATACCCTATGTTCCTACATTTAGGCTAGTAATTTGAAGTTAAAAAATATATAGGCGTATTGTGAGACATTTATCATTTGTTGTTAAATGTTTTCAGTATGTTTTGAAATTTTTGAAAAAAAATTTTTTTTATCCTATCCAGGTTATCGATAGGCCGCATATATCCGTAAATCCAATCCAAGTTTTCCGGCCGACGCCGCCTAGTTCGGCGGGGTCACCGCCAGCCTCAACAGGAGGCTCACATCGCAGCGTAGGCAGACAGTCGTCCTTAGGCTCCATCGAGTCGGGCCCACCCAGAGCTCCGAAGGGCAAACAGAAATACCCATATTCTAAAGCATAGTCATTTTCTTTTTCGAATTGTTGTTTAGAATATTCAAATTATTTCTTTTTGTACCTTATGTGGCAGAGCTACGCAAAATTTGACAACTTTTGTAACGTTTTATCTGGACAATAAAATAAAATCCAACGTTAATTTTTAAAAAATACCTAAAATCAGATATAAAACATTTTTATATATGCATTTTATACAGTATAATATACAAAACAATGTATAAAGTCTGTTATATATAAAAGACTATAAAATCTTGAGTTGGACCGGAAATCGTTACACCAAAGCTCTTAGTTTTGTCGTTGCCATGCCTAAGCAATACGCTGTTCAGCTCTTTCAAATGTTTCAACACTACCCCGGGGGCTGGCTCCCCGTGGGTGAAGCATTCTTATATTTTTACACATGCCCCAACCCCGCCTTGTTGACAAAAACCTGCAGATGTATAAATATATAAATATTCCAACATGTTTATTTAATTATTTTATAAACTTGTTATATAAGTTACAGTACAATACGACTGTGTCTAACGAACAAAAAATGAACATTAATGTGGATGTATAATCCCCACTTATATATATCATTATAACTCATGTCATTTTACGGCATCATACGTTTGTTCTTGTAAATATGTTTTTTATACCTTAGCTAGCAGGCTAGCAAGACGGGTCTTTATATTTCATCCTGTGAATTTCACTTACCTGAATGATTGATTGTGTCGAAATGACTGAATTCGATTGTATTTTTTTCAATCATTTCATTGTGATGTGATAGTTTACTTAACTTGTTCACAAAGTTTGTTGCAATGTTTTATTTGTTATCAAAATGTACAGGGAGGTCTATCATAACGTGGGTTTCATCCAGTCATTACGTCATGTTTATTTTTACTTGCTAATTTATTTCCATTTTCATGTTCTAAAATTGTCTAGTGTACTTCGACTATAATTTATTACCATGTTATTAGTTTATCACAAATTTCTAAAAACACGAAGATCTTATTTAAAATTAAAAACGCGTATGCATTTTTTTTTTCAAAATTTTTGATATAGTATTAAAAAAAACGATGTTTTCTTTTTTTCTAATTCTCTTTTTTTTTTAATTTCCATATTTAAGCACCTATAATTTAGTATAATTAAGATAATTTTACTTCAACCACCAACAGTAAGTGCCAAGCACTCAAGTTAATTAAACTGCCTTGTCCTCTAATTACACGCCAATCAGCTAATCCAAAGTGTTCATCCATATCCAAGAATCCACCATGTTAATACGACATGTGAGAATGTATGACCAACTTTGTAAGCGAGTGGTTGAGGCATTAGAGCTGTTACCCAGCTCTCCCAATCTTGTGATATCCTTATAAACTTACATATATATTTTTTTTCCTCACACCCCCTCCAATATAAACTAAAAAAAAAAAAATCTCGAACTTTTTACGGTTACTTCCCTTTAGTATTTTAAAACTGATTTATTAATTAATCCATTTAGAATTTAAATTTTCCTTGTATTAAATATAATCTATTTATTTACCTGTATTTGAATCGACGAAATCCATGAGGAAATAATGGAAGAGCGAAGTTGGCGGGATTATTTTTGTTACGCGAACAAAACAAATTTGTTATTTCTTAAATGGGATGCTTGCAATCTATTTTTGTGCCTTGGTAAATGCTCTGGACAAAAAACGTAACATTTTTTGGGTAGCTTTCTTGTAGTGCGGTGTTTCTAGTCTGGACATATTTTACATAACATTTTTTTTTTTAAAATAGGATGTGCCCAGACTACTACGCCACCGTAAAATGTGTAGACACCCCGCAATGGTGACTGCTGGGCTTACCATTCAGCTGATCCAAATGCGGAGTTTTTTTTTTTTTTTTTTTTTTTTTTTTTTTTTTTTTAAAAACAAAATTCAAATAGTATTAAATTTGCTTTGTAAAAGTTTGCTAATTTGGATTGGGGTTTATCAGAACATGTTTAGAAATTAAAATATACTGCCAAATTCTTAGACTTACCCAAAGCGAATGTACCCTTAACATTGCAATATATTAGAGTTATGATAAAGGTATATAACGCATTAGGTAAGATATAACTATTAGATTTTTAGGAATATGCACAATGTCTCATCGCAATAATATCTAGAATGTTCCATATTTATTTATCACCTTTAGCATATTAAAATGTATTTAAATCATGTAAAATTACAAAATATAAATGAACTGAAAATTCCTCTGGGAATAAAATTGGAATTTATCAAATTAAAAACAAATAATTGTGGTACGTTTAAAAGTTGACTTTTTTAAAACTCTGGAACAAAATTTGTACATTATTTTATTTAAACATTGAAACATGCTCAAATTACTTACCTCCTTTGTCTTATTTCATAAAATTTTCCTATGACTTGAATCAAACTATGCAAATGTTTTTTTGAACCAAAAATCCGTACATTGTCTTGTTGAAATATACTACAATCAATAAAATGAAAAAATATTAAAAATTATATTGAACTTTTCTTTTTAATATGGTGTGAAATGTGATTGTTAAGAGGTGAGGTTGTGACAGTCAAATAAAACTGTGAGTTGTTGGCTAATGTGACACTTGACTTAATACATGTATTATAAGATGGGTAAATCTATTGCGAGATGGATGATGGTAGAAGTGGATTCTAAATTAGGCTTTTGGATGGTAGAGGAGGATTCTAAATTAGGCTTTTGGGTGGTAGAAGTGTATTCTAAAATAGGCTTTTGGATGGTAGAAGTGTATTCTAAAATAGGCTTTTGTTTGGTAGAAGTGTATTCTAAAATGGGCTTTACGATGTTACAAGTGGCTTCTAAAATGGGCTTTTGGGTGGTAGAAGTGGATTCTAAAATAGGCTTTTGAATGGTAAAATGGATTCTAAAATGGGCTTTTGGGTGGTAGAAGTGTATTCTAAAATAGGCTTTTGTTTGGTAGAAGTGTATTCTAAAATGGGCTTTACGATGTTACAAGTGGATTCTAAAATGGGCTTTTGGATGGTAGAAGTGGATTCTAAAATAGGCTTTTGGATGGTAAAATGGATTCTAAAATGGGCTTTTGGTTGGTAGAAGTGGATTCTAAAATAGGCTTTTGGATGGTAGAAGTGTATTTTAAAATGGGCTTTTGGGTGGTAGAAGTGGATTCTAAAATGGGCTTTTCGATGGTAAAATAGATTCTAAAATGGGCTTTTGGGGTGGTAGAGGAGGATTCTAAATTAGGCTTTTGGATGGTAGAAGTGTATTCTAAAATAGGCTTTTGTTTGGTAGAAGTGTATTCTAAAATGGGCTTTACGATGTTACAAGTGGATTCTAAAATGGGCTTTTGGATGGTAGAAGTGGATTCTAAAATAGGCTTTTGAATGGTAAAATGGATTCTAAAATGGGCTTTTGGGTGGTAGAAGTGTATTCTAAAATAGGCTTTTGTTTGGTAGAAGTGTATTCTAAAATGGGCTTTACGATGTTACAAGTGGATTCTAAAATGGGCTTTTGGATGGTAGAAGTGGATTCTAAAATAGGCTTTTGGATGGTAAAATGGATTCTAAAATGGGCTTTTGGTTGGTAGAAGTGGATTCTAAAATAGGCTTTTGGATGGTAGAAGTGTATTTTAAAATGGGCTTTTGGGTGGTAGAAGTGGATTCTAAAATGGGCTTTTCGATGGTAAAATAGATTCTAAAATGGGCTTTTGGGGTGGTAGAGGAGGATTCTAAATTAGGCTTTTGGGTGGTAGAAGTGTATTCTAAAATAGGCTTTTGTTTGGTAGAAGTGTATTCTAAAATGGGCTTTACGATGTTACAAGTGGATTCTAAAATGGGCTTTTGGATGGTAGAAGTGGATTCTAAAATAGGCTTTTGGATGGTAAAATAGATTCTAAAATGGGCTTTTGGGTGGTAGAAGTGGATTCTAAAATAGGCTTTTGGATGGTAGAAGTGTATTCTAAAATGGGCTTTTGGGTGGTAAAAGTGGATTCTAAAATGGGCTTTTCGACGGTAAAATGGATTCTAAAATGGGCTTTTGGATGGAAGAAGTGGATTCTAAGATGAGCTTTTGCATGATGGAAGCGAGTTGTAATTATGGTACGAACTCACGGAAATCATTTTTGGTGAAGTCAAACAGTGGTCTATGCTTTACTTTTGGATTTATCGTGGGTGAGGAGATGAGTAGGTTGACTATGTGAGTGTTGTGATGTAAGGATATGTTGTGGTGCTGAGGTCACTCTGGAGGTGTTGACATGAGCGACACGGACAGTCATGTCTGGAGAATGGGCTAGGGTAAGGGCTATGGTAAGTTAAGGTATGGGATATGGTAAGGGCAAGAACTTGAGTAGTAGCTATAGAAAGGGCTATGGTAAGGGGTAGGGTAACCACGGATAGTTAGGAGCTAGGTTAAGGGCAAGATATGGGCTAGGGTAAGGGCTATGGTAAGTTAAGGTATGGGATATGGTAAGGGCAAGAACTTGAGTAGTAGCTATAGAAAGGGCTATGGTAAGGGGTAGGGTAACTCCACGGATAGTTAGGAGCTAGGTTAAGGGCAAGATATGGGCTAGGGTAAGGGCTATGGTAAGTTAAGGTATGGGATATGGTAAGGGCAAGAACTTGAGTAGTAGCTATAGAAAGGGCTATGGTAAGGGGTAGGGTAACTCCACGGATAGTTAGGAGCTAGGTTAAGGGCAAGATATGGGCTATGGTAAAGGCAATGGTAACGGCTATTTATGGGCAGGAGTAAGGATAGGAGAAGAGGCTAGGGTAAGGGCACGGATAGGAACTAGGTTAAGGGCAAGATATGGGCTAGGGTAAGAGCTAAGGTAATGGCTATGGTAAGGGCTGGTTATGCAATATGGTAAGGCAAGGTATGGGGTATGGTATGGGCAATGCATGGGCTAGGGTTAGGGTAAGGTAAAGGCTAATGTATGGGCTAGGATAAGGGCGGCGGTAAGGGCAATACTAAGGTATGGGCTGATAGATGCTATGGTAGGGGCAAGAGTCGGTGGTATCATATGAGCACAGCCGGATGAATGAATGTTAGTGAAAAAGAGAACCAATCGAAGTTGGTGTTGTGAGTTGATGTGCACTAGAGAGCCAAAGGGGTCTGAGGCTGTAAATGATTGTGTCATTGTCAGCTGATTGAATAGGTAATCGGTTTTGATATGGTGACAAGAAATCCACAAATCTCGTTACGGA